ATCCGAAGAAGGCAGTTGCAATCGCGCGGAGGGCCTCCGCTGGAGTGAAGGGCTCTCGCTCGCCATCGCTGGTGCTTTGTTTCCAGCGTCTGCGGGGCCCCTCTGGCCCTCTGGAGGCCTCTGGTGGGAAGCTGCTATGAATCTTCGGAAGATCTGCAAACACACGAGGCCATGCTGCTCTCGAATGTATGTTGCTGGCCTGCTGCTGAAGAAGCCCTCAGAGGCTCTCCAGAGGTTCGCTGTTGCCGCGTGGGACCCCACGGATGTGAGCGTTTTGTTATTCGGCGTTTCGATATTGGGCAGAAAAGGAGGGGGGGGTCTGGCTCCGGACCTCTGCTTAGTGCGACTGTTGGCGACAGTGCGTCCTGTGGGGGAGGCTCCACCTGCTCGAAACAGGCGCCAAAAAACACCCAAGATCCACTCCATGGGGGGGAGGGGGGAGGGTGCGAGGGCCCGCGCCGATCGGCAAAACAATGAGTAACAAAAACGATCAACGCGCTCTCCAGTCGCTCCCAGAAGTTTTTCCGGAGGCCCCGGAGAGCCTTCCAAGAAGCTGAGCCCTGGGGGGCTGCCCTCCCCTGGACGTGTGCCCCCCTGGAAGCTTCCCGGGCGCCCCCAGGAGGCTCCCTCCGCACGGCCATCGTGCTGCCATTAGGTCGGGCATGTCCCCCTACAGGCGGATTTCGAACGAAGAATGAAACATGCCCAGTACATGTTCGAACATGCTCAGAAATAGGCAGCAAGCTGTCCCCCGACTATGTTCTGACTATCTTCGACACGCCTGCCATAAAATGCCTGCCATGGAGCACGCCGGACGATGACGAGGGCAGGCGCACGCCGTGGCCACGGCGAGCCTCCGCCAACGAGCAAGCGGCCCCGAGCTGGCTCGGAGGAGCGGCACGAACACCGAGCCCCCCCCATCCCCGAGCCTTAGGTCGGGCATGTCCCCCTACATGCAAATACATGCACAAAAGTTCCAACAAATCGTCGCCATACTATGTTTGAATACGATGTGTTTGAATATGTCGCCTGTAGAAAGACAGGCCCAACTTAACCCGAGCCCAGAGTGGCCTCATCTTATGATGTTCCAACCTACTTTAGCCTTGAGCACCAGAAAGAATCTCGAGCGCCAGAAAAGTACAGAAATTCTGTGCTTTTCACGCGTCGGGCCCTGGGAGACACTCTGTCGACACTCTTTCGAAACTCTTTCGGCACTTTTCCGGGTGCTCGAAATCATTTCTGGGATGCGGCCCTGAAGTACGATGGCGCGAACAACGAGCCCCCCTCCCCCGAGCCTTAGGTCGGGCATGTCCCCCTACAGGCGGATGTTGGGCGACAATTGAAACATATTCAAAACATACAAAGAAATACGCAAACATACAAACACATCGTCCCCAGACTATCTATATATAGTGTGTGTTCTGAATATTTCGCCTGTAGAGGGACAGGCCCGACTTGACCCGAGCCAAAAGTGGCCTTATCTTATGCTGTTCCAACCTACTTTAGCCTTGACCACCAGAAAGAATCTCGAGCGCCAAAAGAATTCCGAAATTCGAAAGTGTTCACGCGTCGGGCCCTGGGAGACACTCGTCCGAAACTGTTTCGACACACTTTCGACACTTCCCCCGGTGCTCGAAATCATTTCTAGGATGTGGTCCTTAAGTACGATGGCGCGAACACCAAGCCCCCCCCGAGCCTTAGGTCGGGCATGTCCCCCTACAGGCGGATATTGGGCGAAAAGATAAACATACTTCAAACATGCGAATACATATACAAAAGTTCCAAAGCATCGTCGCCAGACTATGTTTTGATACGATATGTTTGAATATTTCGCCTGTAGAGGGACAGGCCCAACTTAACCCGAGCCCAGAGCGGCCTCATCTCATGATGTTCCAACCTACTTTAGCCTTGACCACCAGAAAGAATCTCGAGCGCCAGAAAAAAAAATCCATGCTTTTCACGCGTCGGGCCCTGGGAGACACTCGTCCGACACTGCTTCGAAACTCTTTCGGCACTCTTCCGGGTGCTCGAAATCATTTCTGGGATGCGGCCCTGAAGTACCATGGCACGAACACCGAGACCCCCCTCCCCCGAGCCTTAGGTCGGGCATGTCCCCCTACAGGCGGAGCTTGGGCGAAAAAAAAAACATCTCCCAAAAAAGTATATACATACGCACAAATACAGAAACATCGTTCCCTGACTATTGTTATTTTTTTCTTTGATATTTCGCCTGAAGAGGGACAGGCCCGACTTAACTCGAGCCCAAAGCGGCCTCATCTTATGATGTTCCAACCTACTTGACCCATGAGCACCAGAGAGAATCTCGAGCGCCCAAATCATACCGAAATTCCATGGTTGTCACGCGTCGGGCCCTGGGAGGCACTCTGTCGACACTCTTTCTATACCGTTTCGACACTCTTCCGGGTGCTCGAAATCATGTCTGGGATGCGGTCCTTAAGTACGATGGCGCGAACACCGAGCTCCCCCTCTCCGAGCCTTAGGTCGGGCATGTCCCCCTACAGGCGGACGTTGGGCGACAATTGAAACATATTCAAAACACACAGAAATACAAACAAATCGTCCCCATACTATCTTTTTATGTTATTTTTGAATATTTCGCCTGTAGAGGGACAGGCCCAACTTAATCCGAGCCCAAAGCGGCCTCATCCTATGATGTTCCAACCTACTGTATGCTTGATCACCAGAGAGAATCTCGAGCGCCAGAAAAGTGCCGAAATTAAACGGTTTTCACGCGCCAAGCCCTGGGAGACACTCTGTCGACACTCTGTCGATACCGTTTCGACACTCTTCCCGGTGCTCGAAATTACTTCTGGGATGTGGTCCTTAAGTACGATGGCGCGAACACCGAGCCCCCCCTCCCCGAGCCTTCGGTCGGGCATGTCCCCCTACAGGCGGACGTTGGGCGATAATTTTAGCAAATGCAAAAAATACAAATGAATATAAAAACATACAACACATCGTATCCATACTATCTTTGTTTATTGTTATTGCTTTGAATATTTCGCCTGTAGAGGGACAGGCCCGACTTAACCCGAGCCCAAAGCGGCCCAAAGCGGCCTCATCTTAACCTCAACCCGAGCCCAAAGCGAGCCCAAAGCGGCTAAGTACCATAGGGGCAACGTAAGCCTCATCCCAGGTGTGCTCTTGCCTGCGCGCAGCTCTGCCGAAGGGAGCCCCGCGGCAGGATGCGGAAAAGCCACCACTCCGGGGCCTCCGCCGCGCCCCGGCGCTCGCGGCGACGCCGGGGGAAGACCCACGTAAGGGCGTGGGGCTCGCGAGCTCGGAGGCGGACCACCTTGCCCCATCTCGGGGCCCCCTAAGCCCAGACACGCCAGACCCGGACACCCAACATCCCTCGAATGATGGACCTGTTCACCACCACAACCATAAGTTGGAGGGGGGAAGGAGGTGGAGGGCAAGGAGGAGGAGGACGAAGAGGAGGAGGAGGAGGAGGACGAGGAGGTGGAGGAGGAGGAGGAGGACGAGGAGTACCCCCTCGCCCTCCGATTTATGGTGGTGATGGTGGAAAACAAGCCTATCATCGAAACTCTCCAGGAAAAGATGTCGTTTCTTGGGTTGTCCGTGTCCTGGTTTACCTGTGCCCTGGCCTCCGGGGGCCTGACCATCGTCTCCACTGCACGGCAGGCTCACCGGAGGGCCCCCCAGGCCCCGCCCCGGAGGAGCGAGGAGGAGGAGCGAGGCCGGCATGGTGTCTCAGCTGCGCCCCAGTGCTCTGGGAGCGCCATGGGGAAGACCCGCAGAGGAGGCCCCTCTCGAGGAGCGTCGGGCTCCTTGCCACACGCTTCCGACAGGAGCCCGGCGCCCCTCGACCGTATAGCGTCCGCTCTGATCTCGGAGAAGGTGGACCTTGTACTCAGTGTGTGGCGACCCTTGACCCCTGCGGCGCGCCAGGCTCTGCAAGCAGAAGATACAATCCACGTGTCGCTCCGCTCCTCCGCGTAGCGGGAGGCTGAGGAAGGCTCGGGGCGTTGACGCTCAGGAGCCTGGCGGGGTGCCGCACCGAACCGCGGGGGCGTGTCTCCTCGACTGCCTCGGCGGCCCTCTGGGCAACACGAGGTGGCGCCAAGGACGCAGCCACCATGGGCTGGCCATCGAGGCCGTTTTTCTTCAGGCTACTGTGAGCTTACCTGCAAGGAGGGGGAGTGGGGGCGTGGCGACACCCAAAAGGAGATCTGGACTTCACGCAAGTCGGGACTCACTTGCGCGCTGTTTGAAAAGGCGGCGGAGGGGGGGGACCTAAATGCCACGCAAGTAAGCTTACCTAGCACCCCGCAGATGCGGATGAGAGTGAGGGGGCGGTGGAGACGTCGGCAATTTACGAGATTCTGGAGAAGCCCGCCGCAGGCGCCAAAGTTTCACAAATTGTACAACGAGCCCGCCGCAGGCGCCGATTTTTTCGTTAAACCAATGTGGGTAGGTCGCGGGTGGGTCGCGGGTGGGACGCACATGGGTCGCGGGTGGGTCGCGGGTGGGACGCTGTTGGGTCGCGGGTGGGTCGCTGGTGGGTCGCGGGTGTAGAGGGCAGAAAATCCACATCCCATTATAATCACCCCGACAAGCGAAGCCGTTTAGTAAACGTACACAAGGAAGGAATCGAACAGGGCAGGGCTTTTTAGTCAATGCCCAGGGCCGTTTAATGAACGTCATTGTCGGGTCCAGGTGGTTTTTCCTCCCTTGAGGGTGGGTCGCGGGGTGGGTCGCGGGTGGGTCGTGGAGTGGGTCTCGGGGTGGGTCGCGGGGTGGGTCGCGGATGGGTCGCGGGGTGGGTCGCGGGTGGGTCGCGGGGTGGGTCGCGGGTGGGTCCCAGGTGGGTCGCGGGTGGGTCGCGGGGTGGGTCGAGGGCGGGTCGCGGGGTGGGTCGCAGGGTAGGTCGCGGGTGGGACGACGACAACAAACAGCAACAACAACAACAGCAGCAACAACACCAGCAGCAACAACGACAACAACGAGTTTGTTTAAAGACTGTTCGCTCTTATGTACTGGCACTCGTGTCTTGCATTCCGTATACCCCCAATCACAACAACAACCACAACCACAACCACAACCACAACCACAACCACAACCACAACAACAACAACAACAATAACAACAAGAACAACAACAACAACAACAACAACAACCACAACAACAACAACAACAACAACAACAACAACAACAACAACGCAACATGCAGAATTACGACCACGAATTCCTTATTCAGACACGCACCCACGGACAATGAATGACCGTTCGGCCCCCTCACTCTGACCTGAGCACACGTGTACGTGAAACGCCCTCACCCCGAAATCGTGAGCACACCACCATCGAATTAGTTGATATTAATCTTCGGCCTCCAGCAGGGGGGACCCTCACAGGTCCCCGGAAGGTCGTCAAGAGACGGCTCGGGACGAGAGGCCAGAGGAGGAGGAGGAGGAGGAGGAGGAGGAGGAGGAGGTGGCGGAGAGGGAGGAGGAGAGGAGTCCAGAGGATTTGTGGGGGCCACGCTGCGAACAGATCACGACGCCAGACGTCTGGGCCCCCGGCTCAGCACCCCGAGCAGCGAGATCTCGTGGTCCACCAGGATCTCCAGGTTGATGGGGTCCGTGCAGACCCGCAGTATGCACTTGACGCCCTGCACCTCGAGAATCCTCTATCACCCTCCAACTCCGCCTCTCCCTTTTCTCCTGCACGCCGAGGCGTGACGGTCGGATTCCGAACACGCCTGGCCCGGAGAGCGACTGCGGCTCAAACTCAGCATTGGCCATTGCATTGTTACCTCGTCCAGACCTAGAACATGTGCCGCGAGATCAGAGGTTTTACAACTCGACTCCAGCCCTCTCCTCCTCCTCCTCCTCCTCCTCCTCCTCCTTTTCCTCATTTTCCTCCTCCTCCTCCTCCTCCTACTCCTCCTCCTCGTCCTCCTCCTCCACCAGATCCTGGAATCTGGTCAAAAACGATCGCGGGACCCCTCCAGGGACTCGTCAATGTTTCGTCCCATACCGATGTTTGGCAGCCCTGGGCCCAAGAACAGGATGGAAAAACAATCATCGAGTCTCCCCCCGCTTGCTCACACACGGCAGGCTCGTGTTTCTGACACCTCGGGGATCGTTCATCTTTGAACGATCGGACATTTCCGAAACTTCAGTTCCTTCGACATCGACCGATTCCGGGTCGCCGCCGGCGCTCAACGCTGAGCGCAAGCGGCAGGGTCGCGGCCAATAAACACGATGCAAACCTGCCATACCTTCTTCCTCCTCCTCTACCCTCTGCCCCCGGTGCATTCGCGTCGAGCCACTTCCCCCTCCGTGGGCGGCCTGCTGCTCGGCCCCGCATTATCTGGCCGGCGGGGCGCTCGCGCCTGGCGCCGGACGAGGCCACCGGGCCATCGGCGGTGCTGCACCAGCGCACGCGCGAGGGAGGGGGGTCCGTCCTCGCTGCCCCCTCTTCTCACAGTCGGGAGCAGGTCGCACGCATGCTCCGGCGAATGGAGAGCGTGTCGCTTCGCTCTACGGGGCGGGAGGCTCGGAAAGGCTCGGACGTTGACGCCCGGGGACTGGGACGTGGGTGGCGTCTCACACCAAAGCGAGGTGGGCCAGAAGCGGCGGCGCGACACGCTGTCCCAATGTTCCTGAGCGTAGGACGCAAAAAAAACAATCCCGGCTGTCGGGGCACCCACGCTATCGTCTCGATAGGGGCAGCGCGGGTGTGTGGCGTAACGTGGCGTTGGTAGGAGCGAGGGTCGAAACTCACCCTCTGATCCCTCCTCCTCCCTCCCACCTCTCTTCCCCCTGCCGCCAGCTCGAGATTATCCTCCTACTCTTCCTCCTGCTAAACCTCCTTCTTCCTGCGGGCCTTCAGCTCCATGCTCTCCTCGTACAGCTGGTCCATGTACTGCTCGATGGCCTCACTTTCGGTTGGCCACCCCAAAGTGCCACGGGGAGCCATAAACAACCAGACAGAACCTCTTCCCGTAGCGAGGTTGTTTGCCAGCGTGGGCCTCAGGGGGTAAGTTGTTGCGCTGTGGGAGTAGGTTATTGCACTGTGGATGTGAACTATCTGTGGTGCCAACTGCGTGGTGTAACACGTCCTGGTGCTAGCAATGTGGTGCAAGCTATGCGGCACAAGCTATGTGGTGTAAGCTATTGGGTGCATGCTATGTGATGTACGCGTTGCTGTGGAAGCTATACGGTGCAAACCATGTGGCGAAAGCTATGTGGTGTAGCGCTTGCAGTGCAAGCTATGTGGTGCAAGCGTGGTGTAGGCTATGTGGTGCATATTTGTATATAGGTATATGTTAGAAGTGGTCCAAGCTAGTCGGCCGCAAAGCGCGCGAGGCGCCCATGCGGCACCCACGGGCGGGCATCAAGTCAAACCTAGGCAAACTTACCTAGCGCACGAGGCGGCCTCGAGGCGGCCACCGGGTTGAATCCTCGGCGCATCCACCCATCTCAGCAGGCGCCCACGAGGTGCAGCAACTGGTGACCACGAACCGGGCACCAGGCGACACCTCGGCACATCCATCCAATTCCTCAGCGACACCAGCAAGAGTCCCTAGTGCAACCACTGCTTGGGAAGATAGTGATGCGAATTATCCCACTGCCACCATCTGAAGCAGTATCCCACCTCTGTGCCTCGGGCACTGGAATGGCCTCGGGCTCCTTCGAGCTCCTGCGCTACTGCACATACCCCAAAACGGGCCCATACCCCCGAGTCGAAGGGCCCTCTTGGGCGGTACCTGGAACCCCCGCACGACTCCTACACAGGCCTCGGGCGCGTGCCCGGGGGCCGAAGCCTTGAGCATGCTCGAACTTGGCTTCGGGGGCCCGTGCCGGTGCTCCTCTCGGGGGCTGCCCAGGGTCTGGACCCCTTCCCGATGGGCTGGCCTTTCCTCACGGGGCGGCATCGGACGGCCCCGGGGCCCGACCAGGGCTCCGGGAGGCCGAACCTTCGCAAAAACGCCGTAGTCCCTTTCACGACGCGAGGATGTTGCGGCCTGGCGTCTGCAGAGCGCACCCACCATGTTGCCACATTGAGCGCTGATCACGGCATGAGGGGGCTCTTCTGGCCATGGCGAGCCTCGGCCACGCACAGGAGACCTGGACGGTTTCCCCCGGGGCCGTAGGCGACCCGACGAGGAGGAGGAGGAGGAGGAGGCGGAGGAGGAGAAGGAGGAGGAGGAGGGGGAGGAGGAGGAAGAGAAGGGGGAGGAGGAGGACTCTTTGTACTCTTTGATAGCGGACGCCGTCCTGGGGGGCGATTTTAATCACTGGAATCGCTTTCATCCCCAGCCCGCACGGGCTGGGGAACCTGGGCCTGGCCAGGCCTGGAGGGAGCCGCGCGGTCCAACAACCCCGCCCCCGTCTGGGCCCCCGAAGGCCCAGCAGCCTGGCCAGCCTGGTCGGATCCTGGGTTTTCCGATTGCGGACGCCTGAGCAAAGCCGCCACGTCCGCGCAGGCGGCATCATCACGAGCCCTGATGGCCTCTAAAATTGCCCTCGGGGGGCCTTCAGGAGGAGGGGGAGGAGGAGGAGGAGGAGGAGGGGTCGCCCAAGCCCTGCGGAGCAACCCTCCACCTGGACCCAGATCTAAGGAGCGCAGCCCCTCCTGAGCCCACAATCGTCTCGACTTCAGCGATTTAATTGCTTGGCCGTCTTGGCCCTGCCCCTCGTGGCCAACAAAGCAGGCTCCACCAGCATCGAGTCGGTACACCGGATCGAACCGAAACGTGCGTCGGATCGGGCCGCATCGGCACGGAGCCGAAGTCAAGTCGGACCGGCCGCGCCAGGATGCACAGCAGCGCCACGCGAGCCTCGGGCCGGGATTTCGGAATCAAATCGGATCGGCCGCACCAGGACGCACAGCAGCGCCATGCAAGCATCGGGCCGCATCGGACCGTCGGGAGGTCGGGGCCGAATCCGATCGGGCCGGCGGGAATCGATACCGAATCGGATCGAAATGGTCCCAGCAGGGTGGCCAGCCCACCGCGGGGATGGTGAGTCTCGCCCGCTGCGGCGCCGACGCGCGCTGGAGGCGCCGCGTCCCAGGGGCACGACTGACCTGCGCGTACCGACCAGGACACCGAGGCGGAACAAGCCGCGGCGACGAGGGAGAGCTCGGGGAGGAGGAGACCTCTCGCGGAGAGAGAAAGTCCAGACGGATGGCTACTTGGTATGGTTCAGCCTCTTTTGGGTCCCTCGCCGGGCCCCGCGACCGTCAATGAGCGGCTCGAGATGAAAAACTGGTCCAGGGGGGTGGGTCGCGACCACCGGGGGTGTCCTCTTTGTGAAAGATCACAACGTCTTGGGAGCGGGGGGAAGAAGAGGAGCAGACTCTGGAGGGCATGCAGACATGGATTAACACATCAAGGCGCGTGGATCAGCGACGGGCCCCGCTTCCATGCAGACTCGGCGAGCTCTGTCGCCAAATCAGGCGGCACTGGCGCCACGCTTCGGAGGGAGCTTCCTCCGATCGGTGGATCTGGCGCTCACGCGCCGGATCCACGGATCCCCAATCCATGATGGCGTGTGTCCAAGTTTCCAGCGTGCCACGAGAATTCAAAATGCGCACATCCACTCGGGGCGCACTGGTGTGAGCAACGCGCGTCGGAAACAAAGGCATCGCATGACGCTCTGGCTGTGCGTCCATGCGTGCCTCATCGGTGCAGCTTGAACTTCAATCGGTGTCTGCGAGGAAGAGGGAGAGGTCCTCCCCTTCCCCCTCCCCCCCCCGCCCCCCCTCCCCCTCCCCTCCCGGACGGGAGGGGACTCCTCCTCGACCTCCCCTCCTGAAGAGGGAGCCCCCTCCCCTCGCCAGAAGAGAAATTGTCTCCCCTCCTGGAGGGAAGGGGGCTCCTGGGGTAATCAAGAGGTGCTGATACCGCTACTCCCCGCACCTCTCCCGGGGTGCGTTCTGAGCAGGATTTCGAGGCGAATCCAGCGGTGGCGACGAGGGCCTCCGAGGAGGCCCCAAACATTTGGAAAACGAGGAAAAAGCACAGGTATGGGTACCTGTTCCACATCTGAGCTCCTCCTCTGGCGGCGAGCAGTGGCCTCACGCCCGCACGGGGCAGCACCAGGGCCTCTCGACCCTGTGTCTCCCGCGGGGGGCCCGGCAGGACCACGGCTCTTCGCGTGTGAAGCCCACCCGCGCGGCCACGAGGAGCCGCCACACGGGGGCAAGGAATGCTGGCAAAAGCGTTAGGTCAGGCCTGTGCCCCTACAGACCGATTTTGGACGAAGAATACCCCCCCAAGAAAGAACCCCCAAAATATGCAACAAAAATGCTACAAATAGTGAGACATCGTCCCCAGGCTATTATTTGACTATTTTTGAATTTTCCTCCTGTAGAGGGACTCGCCCAACTTAACAGAAGCTCCGCCCTGGCCCCATATTGATTTTGGCAAAACTGGGGGGGCCTCCCAAAAGTCTCGACCCTCTCCTGGGTGCAGCCCTACGTTCTGGGATCCCAGCGACCCCGAACACTTGCCGAGCACTTTTCACCCCTGGGACTCCAAGTTGAGGGCCGGAGGACCTAAAGTTGAGGGCCGGATGGCCTAAAGTTAAGGGCCCGGAGGCCTAAAGTTAAGGGCCGGGAGGCCTAAAGTTAAGGGCCGGGAGGGCCACGAGAAGGGCTCGGAAGGACCCAGGAGCAGGACCAAGCAGGGACCCCACATTGGGTGACCGTGGGACTCTATAAGTCATTCGTCCCAAATCCATTGTTGTTGGCCCCAGAGCCCGCATACGCCCCCCCGGGGGGGAAGGATGCCGAAATCACGGAAAAGCTGAGTGATTGAGGAAATCGATCTGGCTGAAGACCAAGATACAAGATCTATGGTCCCTGAAAGTCCCGGCCTTTTCGCGAAGGCGTAGTTGCTTGAATACCCAGGGTGCCGAAAACAGCCTCCGAGCCTGCAAACTGCGGAACAACAGGAACCGCCTTGACTTGATCAGTATGGGATGGCCTCCGCGTCGGTGCGGGGCAGCACCACGGGAGGGTGGGAGGCGTTGCGATCATAATGTCGAGTGGGGCCCACGAGTGGCGGCGGACAGGCCCCCTGGAGGCCCGAAGACAACGAAAAACGTCACAAAGCCCCGGTCCTCGAACCTCGATTCCCTCGCGCCGGCGGTGGCCTCGACGTCGGCATGGGGCAGCACCGGGGGCGCCGCGTCCCTGGCAAGGGGAGCCCAGAGGGAGGGGACTGGCTCAGAGGGGGGGAGCAATGACCTGCAATCGGCGACGCACACCTGATTGATCGGCGGCGCAGTAAGGCACCCACAAGAAGAGATCTCACGATAAGAAATCCAGGGACACTTTGGCCGTCCATATCTCATCTTCCCGAGCGGTTACTGCTGTGGATCACTGTGCCTTCCGGGGGTAAGAAACGCCCATGGGGTGGCTGCCAGCAGCCTGGCTTCTTATTCGACGCGCCCACTGCAGGCCCCCGATGGAGGACCCCCACATTCCTGGGCAGACTGGGGCACCCATGCGCCGATTGGCAGGCGGGCGATTCGGGGTCGAAAATCGGCACAGGCAGAAGCCTTCGGAAGTCCGCGCAAATTCGTTGGATCGGTGCTGGACTACCCTCCCTGGCGCGGGGCGCCCCAGGGTCGGCGCCGGAGGCGCCGCCAGGCGGTCCAGCGCCGATCCAAGGAGTCCGCGCGGAGCTCGGAAAATCTATTTGTGGCGCCGGAAACGGCTACATTTGGAACACATGGGCACGATGCCCAACAGAGAAAATTGTCTAGAGACGACAGCTGCCGCTGTGGGACAAGCGACCTCTCGTCTCGAATGGATAACGTCCGCGGCGACTCTGACGGCGAGTCCTGTCCAAATGGGCAGGGATTGCTGTCGGTCTTCGCCGCCATTCTTTCCGCAACAGTTGTGAGCGTTTTCTTATTCGGCGTTTCGACATTGAGCGACGAGGGGGGGAGGGGAGGGGGGGGGTCTGGCTCTGGACCTCTGTTTAGCGCGACTGTTTGCGGCATTGCGTCCGATCGAAGAAGAGACTCCACCCGCTCGAAACAGGCGCCCAAAACAGGCATGATCTGCTCCATGGGAGGGGGGGGAGGGCGGGGGTGCGAGGGCCCGCGCCGATCGACAAAGCAGCAAGGAACAAGTGGCACGTGTGCCATGGCTCTTGCACAAAAAGGAAGGGGGAGGAGGAGGATGTGGAGGAGGAGGGGGGGGGGGAGAGGATGCCAGACATCGCAGAAGGAGTGAACAAAACAGGGCCGCAAGAGGGGCTCCAGAGGGCGAGCGCGAGGAGACTCCAAGGGCCGTCCCCCGCAAGATGGCTTCACAGACCTTTGACGGGTTCCCAGGAAGCCTCCAACTGACGCCCGAGAAGCCTACAGAGGGTTCCAAGGGGAGGCCTCCAGGGTCCAAGGAGGACTGGAAGAAATTACTGAGCGGACTCAGCTGCTGGGGGCTCGCGGTGCAAAGTGCGCGGCGGCCTTGTGTTGCGAACGCTTGTCCAAGGCAGTCGCTTTGCACGCAGAGTCTGTCGGGCGTATTCTCGGGGGCCGGCTATGCGCCACTTGAATGGGGGCCTCCCCCACAGACCGGACTTTCGGCCCGGGGCGGCGGCGGCGACGACGACGGCGACGACGGCGGCGGCGTCGGTGGCGACGGCGGCGACGGCATCGGCGGCGTCGCGGGAAGAGAGAGGGGGCGGGTAGGGAGGGCGAAAGGGGCAGGGCTGAGCGGGGGTGGTGAGAGGGCCGGCGACGGCGGCGACGGCGTCGGGGCGGAGGGGGCACTGGGCGGGCGCTGGAACCGCGGGGGGGCGCTGAGACGGCGCGGGGGAGGGGGCGGAGCGGGGAGGGGGGGTGCGGTGCCGAAATAAAATGGTCGGGGCGGAGGGGGCACTGGGCGGGGGCGCTGAGCCGCGGGGGGGCGCTGAGACGGCGCGGGGGAGGGGGCGGAGCGGGGGAGGGGTGCGGTGCCGAAATAAAGTGGTCGGGGCGGAGGGGGCGCTGGGCGGGCGCTGGAGCCGCGGGGGGGCGCTGAGACGGCGCGGGGGAGGGGGCGGAGCGGGGAGGGGGTGCGGTGCCGAAATAAAGTGGTCGGGGCGGAGGGGGCACTGGGCGGGCGCTGGAGCCGCGGGGGGGCGCTGAGACGGCGCGGGGGAGGGGGAGCGGGGGAAATAAAGTGGTCGGGGCGGAGGGGTGCGGTGGAGCCGAGAATAGCGGGGGGCGGTGCCGAAGTGGTCGGGGCGGAGGGGCACTGGGCGGGCGCTAGAGCCGCGGGGGGGCGCTGAGACGGCGCGGGGGAGGGGGCGGAGCGGGGAGGCGGAGTGCGGTGCGAAGTGAAGTGGTCGGGACGGAGGGGGCGGGCGCTGAGCCGCGGGGGCGCTGAGACGGCGCGGGGAGGGGGCGGGCGGGGGGGGCGGTGCCGACATAAAGTGGTCGGGGCGGAGGGGGCACTGGGCGGCGCTGGAGCCGCTGGGGGCGCTGAGACGGCGCGGGGGAGGGGGCGGGGGGGGGGGCGCGGTGCGAAATAAAGTGGGGCGGAGGGGGCACTGGGCGGCGCTGGAGCCGCGCGGGGCGAAGGGGGAGACGGCGCGGGGGAGGGGGCGAGCGGGGGGGGTGCGGTGCCGAAAAAAAAGTGGTCGGGGAGGGGGCGCTGGGCGGGCCGCTGGAGCCGCGGGGGGGCCGGCGAGGGAGGAAATAAAGTGGTCGGGGCGGAGGGGGCACTGGGGCGAGCGCGGGAGCCGCGGGTGGCGCTGAGACGGCGCGGGGGGGCGGAGCGGGGGAGGGGCTGCGGTGCCGAATAAAGTGGTCGGGGCGAGGGGGCACTGGGCGGGCGCTGGAACGGCGCGGGGGAGGGGGCGGAGCGGGGGGGGGGGTGCGGTGCCGAAATAAAGTGGTCGGGGCGGAGGGGGCACTGGGCGGGCGCTGGAGCCGCGGGGGGGCGCTGAGACGGCGCGGGGGAGGGGGCGGAGCGGGGGGGTGGTGCGGTGCCGAAATAAAGTGGTCGAGGGCGGAGGGGGCGCTGGGCGGGCGCTGGAGCCGCGGGGGGGCGCTGAGACGGCGCGGGGGAGGGGGCGGAGCGGGGGGGGGTGCGGTGCCGAAATAAAGTGGTCGGGCGGAGGGGGCGCTGGGCGGGCGCTGGAGCCGCGGGGGGCGCTGAGACGGCGCGGGGGAGGGGGCGGAGCGGGGGGGGGTGCGGTGCCGAAATAAAGTGGTCGGGGCGGAGGGGGCACTGGGCGGGCGCTGGAGCCGCGCGGGGGCGCTGAGACGGCGCGGGGGGGGGGCGGAGCGGGGGGGGGTGCGGTGGCCGAAATAAAGTGGTCGGGGCGGAGGGGGCACTGGGCGGGCGCTGGAGCCGCGCGGGGGCGCTGAGACGGCGCGGGGGAGGGGCGGAGCGGGGGGGGTGCGGTGCCGAAATAAAAGTGGTCAGGGGCGGAGGGGGCGCTGGGCGGGCGCTGGAGCCGCGGCGGGGCGCTGAGACGGCGCGGGGGAGGGGGCGGAGCGGGGGGGGGGTGCGGTGCCGAAATAAAGTGGTCGGGCGGAGGGGGCACTGGGCGGGCGCTGGAGCCGCGCGGGGGCGCTGAGACGGCGCGGGGGAGGGGGCGGAGCGGGGAGGGGGGGTGCGGTGCCGAAATAAAGTGGTCGGGGCGGAGGGGCACTGGGCGGGCGCTGGAGCCGCGGGGGGGCGCTGAGACGGCGCGGGGGAGGGGGCGGAGCGGGGGGGGGGTGCGGTGCCGAAATAAAGTGGTCGAGGCGGAGGGGGCACTGGGCGGGCGCTGGAGCCGCGGGGGGGCGCTGAGACGGCGCGGGGGAGGGGGCGGAGCGGGGGGGGGGTGCGGTGCCGAAATAAGTGGTCGGGGCGGAGGGGGCACTGGGCGGGCGCTGGAGCCGCGGGAGGGCGCTGAGACGGAGGGGGCGCATGATGATGATGTGGATGATGATGATGTTGATGGTGATTATGATGGTGATGATGGTGAGGATGATGGTGATGGTGATGGTGATGATGATGATGATGATGATGATGATGATGATGATGATGATGATGATGATGATGATGATGATGATGATGATGATGATGATGATGATGATGATGGTGCGGTGCCGAAATAAAGTGGTCGGAGCTCTAGACACCCTGTGCAAGCGGTGCCGAAATAAAGTGGTCGGAGCTCTAGACACCCTGTGCAAGAGAATAAAACAACGATCACGCTTCCGTCGGCCAGAGCTCGGCGGTGGACAAACCTCCCTTCAGTAAACCTCCCTTTCGTGAAAACGGCCTCTAGGACCGAAGCCGACGGACCTGGACCCGCAAAAGTGACGGCCGCGGCGCCCTCCCGCGAACCGAACACGGCCCATTCCTCAATCGAAGTGTCAGGGTAGGAGGTCTATCGCGGATGGGCAGAACTCCCTTTAGTAAAACGTGGTCTGGTGAAAACGACCTCGGGCCCAAACCTGGCGGGCGCAAGCCTGGAAAACGACGGCCGCGGCGCCCTCTCGAGAACCGAAAACGGACCATTCACGCATCGAAGCCTCAGGGCAGGAGGTCCATCCACCTCCGGAAAGCTGCTGTGCTCACTGCCGATCTCTTCGCCTTCGGCCGCCCGTGCCACCCCCCCGCCTGGGCTCCTCCCTGCGCTGGCGCCGCGAGCCCCCGCCGGGCTCCTCCCTGCGCTGCCGCCCGGGCGGCGGCTCCTGGGCGCCCCCGCGCTGCTCCAGCAGGTGGAACAGCACCCGCTCGACCTGGGGCCGCGGGCCGCCGCCTCCCCGACCGCTCCGCCTCCTCGGCCGTGGGGTCGATTTTGGGGAGCCCAAACTCCTCCTCCTCCTCCTCCTCCTCCTCCTCCTCCTCCTCCTCCTCCTCCTCCTCCTCCTCCTCCTCCTCCTCCTCCTCCCTCCCTCCTCCTCCTCCTCCTCCTCCCTCCTCCTCTTTCTCCTCCTCCTCCTCCTCCTCCTCCTCCTCCTCCTCCTCCTCCTCTTTCTCCTACCGTGTGGCGACAGACCGTGCGATGACCTCAGAACCCCAAGAGACCTCACCGCACGGTCCGTCACCGCGCGGCCTTGGGACCCTGGCGGGCCCCCGTCGCCCGAGGCGTCCTCGGAGAGGGCCTCGAGGCCCAAAGCCGTGCGGCGACCCCGGAACCCCACCGACTCACCACACGGCGCGGTCACCACCCCGTTCGGGGGCCCCCGATCGAGAATCGGGGGTCCAGAACCTAGCCCGGGCGCGCCCCAGGCTCGGGCCCCGCCGTCAGAAACGCCACCGCGGGAGGAGGAGCCGGCCGCTGAGACGGAGTCGAGACGTCCAGGCGCTCTCGCCACGGAAAACGAACGGCGACGAATATCTGGGGAAGGGGTGCAGGAGAGGGAGGCGGAGGAAAAGGTGCGGAGGGGGAGAAGTGAGGATCCCTTCGAGAGGAGGAGGCGAGGGGTGGAGGAAGGCATGAGGAGTTGGAGAGAGGATTGGCAGGAAGGTGAGGAGAGGATTACCCGGACTCCCGCCAAGACAGAAGTCCTACAAAGAGAGGGCGCAAAGGGAACGGGTGAAGGTTAGCTGCGCGACCGAAACAAATCACACAAAAATGAGAGCTGCCAAAGGCACGACGGCAATAACACCAAGTATGTACCTCCGTGCGGCCAGGAAGCCAACAAGGCTGAACGTTCGCTGTATGTCAGCAGGCGCGAAGGCCACGATCATGTCCCTCCACGCAGCTTACGCTCAGATAGCGAACCCCCCCCCCCAAAAAAAGGTGCCGATCCAAACCTCCGCCTCAATTGAGGTCAGGACCCTGGAACACCCACGACGACCAATCGGGTCCCTTGGCCCGTGTAGCCACGGTGCCCAGAACCACCCCCGGCTGTCCCCTTGCCCAAGGGGGTCCAGGTGGCGCGCATCCACGCGCCTCCGACGAACAACAGGTCGAAATGAACCGAGTACGGTACAACGGCGTACAACGGACAGGACTGTACCGTGCTACTCGCCGCATTCATCATTACCTGACATTGGATGGTTTCACCCCCCGTCAAAGTACAAGTGTCGGAGCCTCGAGATCCTGTAATGCCCCCGCCTGACCGCGCACGGACACGCGACGTCAGCCCTGCCACACCAGGACACCGACCATCTCACCGCGTAGGCGGCCTACGACTACCGCTCTTCTATTCCCAAGGGCCAAGCCCAGGAAGACGAACAGGAGGAGCATGAGGAGGAATGGGATGATGATGAGGAGGAGGAGGAGGAGGAGGAGGAGGAGGAGGAGGAGGAGGGGGAGGAGGAAAAGGAGAAAGGAGACGAAAAGAAGAAGAGAAGCCCCACATGGAGGGAGGAAGAAAAGGAAAAATGTATGGTCGAGAGGTCCAACCACGACAGCAGAGTGCCGCCGGGCACTAGGCCCTCCTCTTTCCCCCTCCCCGCAACTCCTTCCCCGTCCAGTCACCCTCCCATCCCACGTCTTGTTGCCCCGCTCTCCGTCCCTCTCCTTCCTCCACCCCCTCTCCCCCCCAAGACCCAAGGGGCAACCCGCCGAACATCTCAAACCTCGATGCCCGCCGCCCTCCCGTTCGATCCGACACAGCGACAAAAGGTGCAGCACTCGGAGAGCATCACCACTGGCGCCCTCGACCCCGCCTCTTCGCGGCCTCAGTCAATCCCTCCTCGAGGGCCCATGAGACCGAAACCGAGCGGAAACGCCCACTCCTCCTCGCTTCTCATCCTTCTTCCTCCTCCTCCTCGCTTATGTTCCTCCTCCTCCTCCTCCTCCTCCTCCTCCTCCTCCTCCTCCTGGGTAATGCAATGCATTTTTTCTTAATTTCCTCCAGCGCCCCCAGGCGACGGCGAGATAATCAACATATAATCTTGGAACGTCGAGTGTTTAACAAACGCGAAAATACAACACATTTGCATGTACATGGAGGCGAATTCGATCGATGTCACTGTCCTGCAAGAGACCCGGCGGATGAACACCGATACGTTTGGGTGGGAACGAGGCACAGAGTATTTCTCTCCGGATCGAGCACAGGAGCGCGCGAGTGGGCAGGCGTCGGTTTTATCGTTTCTCGTGGCTTCCTCAATCATGTCGTCGGCTTTTTCCCCGCCGACAGCCGGACGGCGAGCCTGGAGGTGATGTCCGCAGGGGGCGTGGTCGCTATCGTAGACGTGTATGCGCCTCACAACCGGCGGCCATATGGAGAGCAGGCCGGCTTCTACGATTTTCTGGAGCAGCACTTGGACGAGATCAGGGTTCCAGGACATAAATTCATCATTGGTGACCTCCACGCCAGGGGCTGGGGAGGCCGAGGCCCGGAGAAGAAGAGATCCTTGGAGATTGTTGTTTCGGGCGCGAGGCGCAAATCCAAATAGATGCCCCAAATCGCGACATGCTGATGGAGCTCTGTTCTGGCCGCGGCTACGCGGTGGCGAACACGTTCATGGCCAACGACATCGATAAGCGGGTCACGTTCTGCGAGCCACATTCGCACCAAACGGCAGAGATTTCGGAGAAGAACTTTGCTATGCTGGATTTGGTGCTTGCTCCACTTGCTGCTTTGGACGGGGTGCTCGCTGTGCAGAGCGACAGGCTCACGGGCTTCTCGTCGCACCACTTCCCAGTGCACGCACGGCTTGCTTTCCCCAGAGGCAGCCCGAGAAGTCTCGGCGCACACACAGCCGCCTAATCTTGCTTTATTGGAACAGCCAGACGTCAAGAGAGCTTTTCTCCACCCGCTGACGGAGAAGCATTACGACGACGATGGCGCCTCCTCGGGCAACAACAATTGGAACAAGTTTCAGGTCAACGTCCTGGACACCATGGCTCGCTTGCCGCCGGCGCCGCGGACAAAACACAGGCCGTGGATCAGCGGGAACCCCCCGAAGCTCATCAACCAACACTCAGAATTGCGATCTCGTGGAGACTGGGAGGGCGAGAAGACAATTGCCAAAGATATCAAAAAGTCGGCACGCCGAGACCGGGCGTCTTGGCTTCAGAATCTTGCCGCCGACGGCTCCTGGGATTCGCTTCGCCGGCTGAGACGAGGGAGGCGCACCCAGCAGACGAGATTGCAACGCCATACTGGGAAGCAGTTAGCACTGAAGAACGAGCAGGGGCATTCGCTGATTTCTTGGAGCAAATACAATGGAAAATTCGCCACGTTACCGCTTTGCCAGAGTTTTCCGAGCATGCCCAGCCGCAGTTGGACATTGTCGAGACTGATTTCACGCACAAGGAACTGCGAAGGGACATCGTGCGCACGTCACCTGGCCAGAGCGTGAAAGAGAACGACATCCGAATTGAAATCTACAAAATGTTGGCTTCGGCGGATGGCCACTGTCTTCAACCTCTTTTGGACGTCATGAATGCGCGTTTGTCTTTAGAAACAATTCCAGACCGCTGGGTGGCGGCGCGGGTGTCCATGATCTCCAAGAAGAAGGAGCCCTCTTGCATGGACAACTACAGGCCGATGTGCTTAAACGTCAGTTGCTTACCGGCTGTTCGCTAGCATGTTGAAGCATCGCTTCCTAGATGCTGGGCTGGACAGCCGCATCTCGCCATCGCAATACGGTTTTCGTTCCAAGCACTGCACAGAGGACGCCATCTTCATAGCCAGGAGGCACCTTGAACTTGCACACGCACAGCGCTACGGGTCGGTATCTTTCCTGGCACTTGACTGGCGGAAGGCTTTCGACAGCGTGCACACTGAGCGCCTGCTGCATGCGCTCGCGCGTTTCGGGATCACGCCGAAGTACGTGCTCATCATCCGCTACATCATGACGAACAGGCGTTTCTTTGTGGAGGATTTCTGTACCAAGTCAGACGAGCGGCCGCAGCGGTCGGGGGTATCGCAGAGATGCACATTAAGCCCTTTGTTGTTCATCACATTAATGACGGCATTAATGCAGGATGCAGTCGCCATGCTTCTGGAGCCAGCGGCACAGGCATATCGACAGAAGCGACTTGCCGATATTGCTTTCGCAGACGACACGCTGCTGTTGGGCGCGGCGGCAGAGCATGTCCAGCAGTTCGCAGAGGCAGCAGCGCGGGCGGGCAGCGCATACGGCCTCGAGCTGCATTTCGAAAAGTTCCAGCTGTTACAAGCGAACTCATGCAAACCGGTCGTCTTCCGGGGGAAGGCCATACCGAGTGAGGACAGTATCGTGTATCTCGGCTCTTCGTTGTCGGCAGATGGCAAAATGGGCCGAGAGCTGTGCCGCCGGATTGGGGCGGCAGCTGCAAATTTTCCAGGTGATCCAGAAAATTTGGAAGCATTCCTCTCTGCCGCTCAGACGGCGCTTGCAGGTGTACATGTCCCTGGTCGAATCCAAGCTGCTGTACGCGCTGCCAGCAGAATGCTTCACGAAGGCGGAACTCCGCAGACTCGATGGATTCCAAGCCAAATGCTTAAGACGTGTGTCTTACACATTCAGCCATCTTTCGTCTCCAAGATATCCGACGCCACTGTATTACAACGCGCAGGCTTCTCAGCAGCCTCCGTGCAAGTGCAACGCAAACAACTACTGTTATTGGGCCGTGTCTCACGCGAGCCGGAGCATTCGGACATGCGAGAGGTCACGTTCATGCCGGGCCTCCCTTTCCTCCCTGCCACCGTCAGGTACGTCCGCCGAGTTGGGGCACCCAGGAAAGAATGGGTTCGAAGTGTTCTGGCCGACGCAATCCGCTTGGCCGGGGACAGTTTCCGACTTCAAGATGCAGTGAGTGACACCTCCATGTGGCGCCAAAGAGTGCGCTATGTATGTTTGCATAATTGATCTGCCAGTATGCACGCCCATGGGCTGCCACAGCCTACGGCACAAGCTCCTCCTCCTCCTCCTCATCCTCACCCTCATCCTCATCCTTGCTCCTGTTCCTTCTCATCGTCCCCCTCCTCCTCCTCCTCGCTCCTCGGATCTCGAGGTCCCCCTCTCGGGTCGGACGAATAAGGAGGGATAAGCGAATCAGCTATGGAATCCGCGATACATCGCCGATGGATCGGCAATAGGCCCCCGATAGCGAAACCCGACGTTCCGGGGCGGGGTGGACTATCAGGCCCTTATCAGGCGATGACTGGGCGATTCGTGGTCGATGCATCCCCCCAGAGCCTATCCCCCCCTGTCGTTGCCCCTGAAGCTCGCGTGGCTCATTTCCCCGGCAACCCCGGCGCCGGAGGCGCCAATTGTATCGAGGAAGGCGCTGGATGCCCAGAGCAAACCTCCTGACCCCCAATTTCCCTATCCGCCCAGAGCGTCCGACCCGAACCTCTGGACGAAGAGCAAGTTGCATAGATAGAAGGTGTCGAACGTACGCGCGAATTTCTTGGATCGGCGATGGGCCCCCTCTCCCTGGCGCGCGGACAGGGACGGCGCCACAGGCGCAGCCAGGGGGGTACAGAGCGGATCCAAGATATCTGCGTGGACCTCGGGCATCTGATGCTTAGAAAGTTGTGTCTTCCTCTGCTCTTGCTGCTGGTCGCCCAGCCGCCCCCCCTTCTGGCGCGCGCCCAGCAGAGCCCAGACCTCTCCAGGCCCGTCTCTTTGATTCTTCTCGGAGGTGGACAATAAAAACCCTTAAAACACCGTCAGTGAAAAGGACCTGGCAACAGACCTGGCGGGCGCGACCGCAAGGCCCTCTCGAGAACCGAAAAACGGCAATCCGCGAATCGACGTGGCAGGGTGGGGTTTCTGACCGGTCAGGCACTTTGGCTTAGTGTGTCGCTCCGCCAGTTCTAGCCCACCACGCTTCGGCGAGACACGCTATCCACGTCTTCGACCCCAGGCGTCAACGTCCCGAGCTACTCCCAGCCTCCCGCCCCATGGAGCGGAGCGACACGATATCAGGTTGCAAGGCATAACGTGTCGCCGGGGCCGCCGCCGCGACACGTTTAGCAAAAGTTCCTGACCGTAAGCTCCGACGTCTTCTTCGACCTCGAAAGTGGGGCCCCCACCGAATCCAGATAAGGTAGATGCTCTTCTTACTGCGCACCTGTTAACTCACGGAACTTCAGCCAAACAGTCACTGGGGATTAGCGTTGGTCACCTCTCGCGGGCTGAGCCAAAACACTACGAGCAGGGGTGGGTATTACCACCGTGACGCCTCGTCGGCCTTAGACGCGGGGACGTATTTGCACTTCTCGATGACCTCCTGTGCGTAGCCGCGGACCTGGCCGCCCTCCCCCTGCCGATCCTCCTCGCCGCCGCTGGCCGATCCGCCAGGACCGGCTCCGCCTCAGCCTCCTCGTCTACCTCCTCGTGCTCCTCCTCCTCTTCCTCCTCCTCCTGCTCCTCCAAATCACCTGCTCGGTCTCCTGCTCCTCCCTCTCCCTCCTCCTTCTCTAAAGAACGCCTTCCTGTCGCACCCCGAAGACGGTCGAAAGGGCGGACCGGGCATTTCGCCTGAAACTTCCTCACCATTTAAGACCCTGATGCGTGGAAACGGACGACAGTTTCAAACATGGAGGGCGAGTGGCTTGCAAAATGTGGCTCTCGCCTTCGCGCCCCGCACATTCGTTGTAAACTGTTGGAAGAATATCACGGATTGAGGGTGGGTGGTTTTCAACATGTGGATCTCGCCTTAGCGCCCCGCACATTCATGGCATAAATTTGGAAGGATGTCACGGATCGAGGACGAGTGGTTTTCAAAATGTGGCTCTCGCCTTCGCGCCCCGCACATGTTCTGTAAACTCTCAAAAGAAAATTACGGATTGAGGGCGGGTGGTTTTCAAAACGTGTTTCTTGCCTTAGCGCCGTGCACATTCGTTTTCAGATTCGCAAGAGTATCATTGAATACCAAGGCTAACATGTCAGAAGAAGTGTGTTTGGAGCGATTCGGGGTTGTCAGGGCGCAACTGTTACGTTGACTGGCGGTGTTGAAGTCCCAGGAATGGCGTCCTGGCACGAGTCAGGATCGCCAAGACGTGCGTAACAGTCAGGTTAACTCGTGGCACTGAAATGCAAAAAGTTCACACGCTTGTCCCCCAACGGGGCAATTCCCCCAGTAGAAATGACCCCTTGATAAGGGCCCATGGAGAGGGATACTGGAGGGAGGGTGAATTTCAAACTCGTTGATGAGTCTTGGGTTTACACTGGTCCTCGTCTTCCTCCTCCTCCTTCTCCTCCTCCTCCTCCTCTTCCTCCTTCTCCTCCTTCTCCTCCTTCCCCTCCTCCTCGTCATCCTCCTCCTCCCCTCCTCCTCCTCCTCCTCCTCCTCCTCGTCCTCCTCCCGTTCCAGTTCCCCCCCCTTCTCCCCTGCTCATGCTCCCACGCCTCCTTCTCCTCCTCATCCTCCTGGTCCTGCTCCTCCTCCTTCTCCGCCTGCTCCTCCTCCTCCTCCTACTCCTCCTCCCCTTCCTCCTCCTCCTCCTTCTCCCTCCTCTTCTCCGCCCCCTTATCCTCCCCTCTCCTCCCTTTGTCCCCCTTCATCCCCGTCCCACCTTCTCCTCCTCCCCCTTCTCCTCCTGCTGCATCTCTATGCTCTTCCCTGGAAGCATAAGCGGGGGCATGTCTGTGTCCGACAATCGGGCCAACAACAAAAAGCGAGAATGAGCTCGGACGGGCTACCCTTCAGCCTCCTCCCGACTCGTCTGTCCAGGCGACCCTCTGAGGGGAAGGAGTCTCCTTCTCCTCCCCTCCGCCTCTGCCTGCTCCCCCCGTTGTCCTCCAGCCCGCCCGCCTCTTCCTCCTCCTCCTCCTCCTCCTTCTCGCTTGGCAGGCGCCAGTGTCGCTGGCACCTCCACGCGCAAGACATCAACCACGCGCTCGACTGGCATCTGGCAAAGCTCGGGTCGACGAGTCGGCGGTCGGCTCGGCACCCCGTACTTCGGGGAACGCACCCCGAAAACTTGCTCCCCCGTGTCGTCCACCTCGTCTCCATGGTGCTCAGCCTCCTCCTCCTCCTCCTCCGCCTCCTCCTGTACTGAGCCCCTTCCTCCCCATTCCCTCTTCCACTTCCTCCCGCTCGCCCGCCCCCTCCTCCTCCTTCTCCTCCCCTCCGTCCTTCCGTCATTCACCCCTCTTGATTCTTGATTAATCTTCCTACTCTTCTTGATTCATCATGCTCCTATGCTGCTACCTTTCCTCCCGATGTCCTATCCTCCTCATCTCGGTCGCCTTCCCCTCGCTCGCCTTCCTCCTCCTTGTCACCCTCCTCCTCCGTCTTCCTCCGCCTCATCTTCCTCCTTTCCTCCTCCTCATCCTCCTCTCCGCCATCCCCCTTCTATATGTGTCTTCTCCGCCTTCTCCTTCTCCTTCTGATTATCCTCCTCATCCTAATCCGACTTCGCCTTCTCCCCTACCTCCCATCCTTTCCCCTCCCGCCTCATTGCCCTGCATGTTGGGCGGGACTCGGATCACCTTCTGGCCAGGCAGCTTCTCGGACCGGACAGATGTTCCGAACTCGTCGAAGTGGTGAACCTCGGTCGTGTAGTTTACGACCAAAGCAAACTGCTGGAGGTCAATATCGAAGGAGCCGAACTTCATCTTCTTCTTAGGGGCACACATGCTGCCGTCGCCCTTCCCTGGTTGCCAGGCAATGCAACGGGGGGGCGCCACTGGGAGCGCCCCTGGTTCCTCAAGGAAACGGACCCCATGGACCCCCCAGAACCTCCCCAAAGACACCCACAGACGTCAGGCCCCTCCTCGCTCCTCGATGCTTCCAAACGTCAAGGACCTCCTCGATCCTCGATCCTCCTCCTCCTCCTCCTCCTCCTCGATCCCCGATGTCGAAGAGCAAGGGGGCGTCTGACGAGTTGGGAGCGGACCGAAGCCGAGTACGAGTACACCAAGCCGAGTACAAGGATTATCCTCCATCCAAAGACGGGGCAGCCTACGCCAGGCCACATCTATGTTAAACAAGTCGGGTTAATGGCATATTCTCGGTGACCCCCTCTGGCGGCGACCCCCCCCGGGCGCTGCCCGCGGTTTGGGCACAGTGCCGCCGATGGGAGCGCGAGCGGCCGACCCGGGCAGGGCCGCGCGGCCGCCTCTAGCGCGGCACTCCCCAGGCAACACTTTTGAACCAGGACGGCCGCGCAGTGTCCGCTGAGGAGACGACAGCAGCAGCAGCAGCAGCAACAACGGCAACAGCAGCAGCAACAGTAACACCAACAACAGTAGCAACACCAACACCAGAAACAACAACAGCAACCACACCAGCAACACATACGACAACAGCAGCAACAGCAACACCAACAACAACAGCAACAACAACAACAACAATCAGTTTAAGACTGTTCGCTCCTAGCTGCTCACGTGCTAATCAGCACGTGTATCCCAAGCCCTCGGTACCCGCCCTCGTCGTCTTCGATCGTACCACCGTGGGGGTCTATCTCCCTTACCTGCCACGTATTTAGTGCAGGCCCTAGAACAAGGGAAGAGATGACGGGTGGAAGGGGGAGGGATCATAATGGAGCGCGAGAGAAATTAGCAGGAGGGGGGCACGGAGCAGAAAACAAGTGGTATAACCAGACGGGCAGATCGGGTGGGCAGACCCACAGCGGGCAGGTCGGGAAGGCGGGCCCAGGCGACGAGGTCGAGAAGGCGGGTTGCTGAAGCGTGAGTGCTGCATGAATCGTGAGGAAGTCTTGAGCGACAGCGCGATTCCTAAGTAAATCGGGAGACAAGCCAGCGTAGGCCACGAAGGGCATAACATCCGAGGCCACAGAGGGCAGCGACGGGGCCGCTGAGGGCAGCACCGGGGCCACGAAGGGCAGCGAGGGGGCCACAAAGGGCGACAGCGGGGCCACGAAGGGCATGCATATGGGGCCACGACGGGCGCGAGCGAGCGGGGGCCACGAAGGGTATTCGTATACGGGGCCACAAGGACGACAGCGGGGTCACTGAGGGCAGCAACGGGGCCACGAAGGGCAGCGACGGGGCCACGAAGGGCGACAGCGGGGCTACAAAGGGCATGCGTGTGGGGCGACGACGGGCGCGTGCGAGCGGGGCCCACGAAGGGCATTTAATGCGGGGCCACAGAAGGCAGCGACGCAGCCACTGAGGGCAGCAACGGGGCCACGAATGGCAGGACCGCGGAACCAGTACGGGCAGCGAGGGGCATCGAAGGCGGGCGAAGGGCACCAAGCGGCGACTGCAATCATTAACGGGCTGGTCGGCCGGGCAGGCCTCGCAGGGCGGGTCGAGCGGGCGGGTCGTTAAAGCGTGAGTCCTTCTTGAACCGCCAGGCAATATGTAGCGGGAACGCAATTCCTAAGTATCAAGGGCCCGCATCTAGATAAATTATCTTAAAAAATATAAAACGAAGCGGTTCGGTGGTAAGTTGTGAGGAGGTCCCAAGCGAGAGCGCGATTCTGCAATACGTTGTCAAGAAATAGCACGAGCGGGAGTCGCGATTCGATGGTACATTGCCAGGAAGTCCAAAGCGAAAGCGCGATTCTTCAATACATTGTGAAGAAAAAAGCGGGATCCGCTGTTGTTGTAAACCGGGGGCCGACGACACCGTTTGAGTTTCAAGACTTTCCCTGGTAAAGTAACAGGGTTCGAGCCGCGGGAGGGGCACTTCAATCGAAAAAATATAATGTGCACCAATTGGGGGAGATCAACAATCATTACTCTTCCAAAAAAATCAACAACAGCAACAGCAACTACAACAAAAGCAACAATCATTCCAAGACTGTTCGCTCCTACCGGCCCGCGTGCCAGTCACTATGCATATCCCAATCCCTGGATACCCGCCCTCTTCGTCTTCGATCGTGCCCCCTTTTTGGGGGTTATATTCCTTCCTGGCCACGTGTAATTGGAGAAGCCCCTAAACAGGGACACGGAAGGGAAAAGACAAAAAGAGAGGACGAAGGGATCGGAGGAAGGGAGGGATTAGAGGGGCAAGAGGGAGGGACGACGCTGATTTGTGCCGCGAGTTGCGATTCAGGTTGCGCCATGGCTTGCGCCAGCCATTCTCCAGCACAGGTTAACACAAGGCTTCGCCATGGGTCGCGCCATAAACAGCGCCATGTAACACCTCTGGTGCTGCTCGGCGAGGTGTTGGAGGCGCATGTGGTGCCCGATGCCGGGCCATCTCCTAGAGCGCTGCAGGGCCAGGGTGTGTGAGAGGAACCAGCAGGGGCCGCGGGCTCTGTTGCTGCTGCACGACATGCGGCATTCACGGCGAACGGGGAAACCGCATCGTGGTAGCGCATCGATTGAGAAAAACAATGCGCAACGGTGGGGGGGGCCAAAACAAAATCATTCTTCAGGAATGAAAGTTCAACATCAACTGACGTGCGAGGGAGATGGAATCGGAAGGACGGGGGAGGCGGACCGGGAGGAGGGAGGAGCAGGAAGGTAAGAGTGCGAACGTTCGGAGAAGTCCTAGGCGAAAGCGCCATTCCACAAGGAAGTCTCGGACGGCAGCCCGCGGGTGGGACATTCAAGCGGGATGCCTGCGTAGGGCGAGAGCGCGATTCCTAAGTAAACTGCGACGGCGTCCTTAAGCGAGCGTGGTGACTGAGCGTAGATAGTGCGATGTCTGAATAAACTGCGAACAAGTCACAGGCGAGAACGCAATTCCTGAAAACGAAATGTCTGGCAGGAGCGGGGGTCTAGACTATAACGCAAAGAAATCTTAAGCGGGAGCGCCGTTCTTGAGTACATTGGGAGGAAGCCTCAGACGGGAGGGGGGACTAAACTGCGAGGAAGTCACAGGCGGGAGCGCCGATCCTGAGTAAATTGCGAGGAAGTCTGGGACGGGAGGGGGAGTCCTGAGTAAATTAGAAAGAAGTCTCAAGCGGGAGCCGTTGTTGTTGTTGTTGTTGTTGTAGTCCGGGGGAGCAACAATGCAGTTTGACCTGGACTAAATTGTGAGGAAGTCTCCAGCGGGAGCGCCGTTCCTCAGTAAATTGGGAGGAACAGACGGGAGGGGGGGTCCTGAGTAAATTTGTAAGAACAAATCAAGCGGGAGCCGTTGTTGTTGTAGTCCTGGGGGCCACGGGCACAGTTTGACCAGGAAGACTTGCCCTGTCAAAAAATAGGGTGCGAGCGTCGAGAGGCACACTTTGACTAAGAAAACCAATATGCACCGGTTAGGGGGATCAACAACAATTATTCTTCAGGAATGAAAATTCAACAACACTACCAACGACACCAATAATAACAGCAAAAACAACAACAAAAACAACAGCCACAACAACAACACCATCACCAACAACAACACCACCAACACCAACAACAAGACACACAGCAACAACAACAGCAACAACAACAACAGCAACAACAACACCAACAACAACAACAATCATTGTACCCTCATGCGCGATGTTTTCCAAACGAAGCATGCGACCATCATGATAACCATCCCCATCATGGGGGCCTATTGTTCTACAGCGGGATCCGTTATTCCCATTCCCAGATCTCCCTCCCAATGAGATCTTGCAAACACCTCCTCCGAGGAATTTCAACATATCCCGCCTCGAAAACACATGCCCGCGCCTTGCCGCGCCGATGCGAGACCGCCAGTGGCGCCCCAACCGAGGGTACAGCGCAAGAAAGTATCGAGCAACAGGATTGCCTTGGTGGGGATGGGGGCTGTCGGCGGCGAGGCAAGGACGTGGCCCTGAATAGAAAGGGAGGAAGTCTCGAGCAATGCCGCTGTTGTTGCTGGGAGCGGCGCCAATGCTGAAGAGAGTAGGGCCGCTAGTCCAGCGTAAAACAAAACGAAGTCTCGAGCGGGAACACTGGTTTTGAGACGGCTGTTTTCGGCGGCGAGGAGGAACACCGCCTTGAGTAAGAGGGGAAGAAGCCTCGAGCGGGAACCGTGGTTTTGTCGGGACGGGGGCTGTCGGCGGCGAGGAGCAGCACCGTCCTGAGGAAAAAGGGAGGAAGCCTCGAGCGGGAGCGTTGTTCTTGCTGGGAGCGGCGCCAATTCAAAAAAGAGTTAAGCGCCAATCCAGCGTAAAACGGAAGAGTCTCGAGCGGAAGCGCTGGTTTGATCGGGACGGTGGTTCTCGGCGGCGAGGAGGAGCACCGTCTTGAATTAAAAAATGAAAATGTCTCAAGCGGGAGCGCTGCTTTTACTGGGGGCGGCGCCGATGAGAGAAAGGGTAGCGCGCCAAACCCATGTAAAACGGGAGGAGGTTCCGAGAGGGAGCGCTGGTTTGGTCGGGACGGCTGTTTTCGGCAGCGAGGAGGAGCACCGCCTTGAGTAAAAAAAGAAACGTTTCGGGCGGGAGCGCTGTTTTTGCTAGGGGCGGCGCCGATGAGAGAAAGAGTAGCGCGCAAGTCCCATGTAAAACGGGAGGGAATCTAGAGCGGGAGCGCTTTTGTTGGGACGGCGGCTTTCGGCGGCGTGCAAGAGCACCAGCCCTGAGTAAAAAAAGGAGTCTCGAGCGGGAGCGTTCTTGTTCTTGGGGGGCCAGTTGTGGCGCCCCCCAGAACCGCTCGAGCGGGAGCCTCATTTTCAATGAAAATGCAGCCGGCGCCGAGGCGAGAGCGCCAGGGCGTCTTGGGGGTCCAACAAATATAATTGTTGAAACAAGTGGCACGCGTGC